AAAATTTTAAGATTTAAGTGAGCTGGACCGATTTGAAAATACCTCCAAAAATGGAGTTTTTTATGAATAAAAATAGTTTCTTGAAGAACTTTTTGAAAAAAGTCCCTTCAGATGACAAAACAGATTAAGCTTAAAAAATCTTCATAAAAATATTTAAAAATATTTTCAACGGAATCGTAAGAATGAGATTTTTGATGCGGTTTTTTTTTACTTTTTTCAAAGATTGATTTACGAAAAACTTGAATAACTGGGCCAAAACTATTCTAATTTAGACTTATGGGGTCTCAGTAGAAAGGTATTTTCACACTGTTTTTATTTCTGTCCAAAACTAAGTCATTTCTGTCCCAAACTTTTTTTTTCAAACACCAAACATCTTAATTCAACTTTGAATGACGTTCGTTCATCCTACTTTCATCCTTTGAATGACTTTATAAGCAAAGAAATAAAAAGGGTGAGAAAATATCTTTCCAATGACATCTCTTAAGTCTAAAACGGAAGAGTTTAGGTTCAGTTATTCAAGTTTTTCTTATACCAATCCTTGAAACAAGTTAAAAAAAACAGCATCAAAAATCTCATCATTATGATTACGTTCAAATTTTTTGTTAACTTTTTTTTTTATTTTTATGCAAATTTTTTAAACTTAACCCGTTTTGTCATTTGAGGGAATTTTTTCAAAAAAAATTTTAAGAAACTATTTTTATTCATAAAAAACTAAATTTTTGGAGGTATTTTCAAATCGGTACAGCTAACTTAAATCTTAATATTTTTCCGAAATATTTTTGTGGACGTTTTAAAATATAATAGTTTTTATAATTCCAATGGAAAAATAGTACCGATTTTTTTTTGTATGGGGAGTGATGCAGTCTAATGTACATATGTGCACATTTTTGAAGACTGTATATTTGCAAACAAACCTAAACAATTTCCCTTATTTAATACCTTGTTTCTGAGAACTACTGATACTAGTAAATTAAAGTACATACTCGATACTTTTCTTCTGATACCAAGTAATTTGGGTATCGATACTTTTGAACCTAGTACTGAGTAGGTATTGGAAGAAAGTACTTGTATCGATTCGGTGACAATTTTATTCCCGGACTTTTATTTTTTGATTTAATTATTATTGTGAATAGCTAAAATTTTTTGGCAGTTTAGTTGTCAATGAAAAGAAAATCCTACAAAGAAAGACCTATTATCACAAATGGACTTAGCAACTTTTCATTCTAAGCTAGCGATATGAATGCCTAGACTACACTATAGCTTTGTGCTCCAAAAATTATCAACATGATTACCTCTTTCAGAAATATACCATTCATAGCTGTGTGTTAGCGTTTTTTTATATAAACAATTCTTATATAGGCACAAGGTCGATAGGTCGATATATGTAGAGAGGAAACAGTTTCTAAACTCATTTTCTTCAAATGATTTGCAACATTTTAATAGCAAAATTTTTGCTGCAATCGACAGAGTTCGATACAACCGACAATTTTTGATATTATTCTGAACTTTTAGCACCTTTTCGTTTCACTGCATAAGAAGACTAAAATGCCTACTAACTTCAAGAAACTTAAACACATTCATAATATTTACATATATTTATTTGCTGTGTTCAATTCTATAGCATGAAAGCTGTCTCTTTATCACACAACCAGCCACTGTTTTAAGCCGCACTCACAGCTGCTAAAAATAATTTGCTTTGTATTCACATGCGAAAAGAAACTGCGACTTAAACACTTCACATTAGAGTTACCGCTGAAACACAATGCCGACGAACGGCGAATTTTGCGCTGCGAATGTTCGCTGTAAAAATTTAAACACACTGTTGTATATGAGAACGCACACAATCAAAACAAACGATGGCGTTCGTCCGACGACTGTTCGCAACGATAGACTTATTTCTATCGTCGTTGCTGGCGGTAGAGGCAAAATGCGATCCATTGTGGCCATATGCAAAATATTCTCAAGTTTTTCAATCGAAATTAAAAAACACTGTATTAGTTTTTGTTAAAAATTAATAATCTTGTTTTTTGTAAAAATTTTAATTGTACCTTATCATAAGCAGCTGAACTCGTTGTCGCCGTAGTTGTGTTTTACTGTGCGAAAATTCGCCGTTCGTCGGTATTGTGTTTCAACGGTTATTCGCAAATACAAAATTGTAAAGTAATAACCATTCGTAAGTCAATTATCACATAACCCGAAGTATTTAAGTGCTTGCCTACGTATGTACTTAAAAATTAGCATTTGCGGCCAGATTTTACTATGGCTAGTTTATCTATACAATTTAATACAATGACAACTAACGAACTTTTATGATAAACATATTTACTTCATCTTAAGTTGGGAAATCTGTTATGAAATTTGAAAAAAAATGGCATAAAAATTTTACTACCAGACTATTTATTTGCCGTCATTAAATACATATTTACACACGCAAACACTTCTACTTACTTTTATGGAAAGTTGTTGAAGACGTTCACTAGGGTGTTCCGGTTCCGATTAAAAAACTTCAAACTGTTTTTATTTATAACCTGATCTAGATCATTGATCAATACTTTTTCTTCACTGCCAATTACAAAATTAAACTTTTTTCCTGCAAAGTAGTCGTCTTCTCCTAAGGTTGCAATCATTTTTTACTTTGTTTCATTAGAATTTTTTTCATCAAATAAGGCAAAAAAAAAAATGCTTCTGGTGCAAGACAATTTTTTACATGGTATTATTTCACTAAAAAACTGCTGTACAATATTAATGTATTTTATTTGTTTTATATCTAATTTAAATGTTCTCAGTCTTCATAGAGGAATCTGAACTTTGATCCCATTGCGAAATGCCTTAACAGACCCCAATCGGAACCAAAATTTATATGCATTATTTTCACATTCATTGGTATCGATTTTGGGTATTAGATGAAAAAAATTAATTTAAATTTTTTGAGTCTTCACAGAGGAATTTTATATGTGACATCTTCAGCTATTGTGGCATCGACTAGGGGTTGAGGTTTCGGAAATCGAATGTTAAAATGTGGTTCATACATTTAAGGACCACCCTAATATACATACATTCATATAAATGAAACAATGTATAAGAAATATGCATAGAGCTTAATGCTTAATACCCATCTCTCAAAAAAGGCAAAAACTCCATATAAAAAACGCTGAAGAAATGGCGAAGAAATTTTCTTGTGCCAAATTTCCTTAAGACACTACGAAGTTCTTAAGAAATTTTCTGCGCTTTCTACTACAGTTTTCTGAAGTTTTTTGTGAACAACATACATATGTATACGCCCGTTCTATTATTTCGTAAAGAAAGGGTGAGGCTGTGAAATATCAGATGTGCAAATTCCTTGGACACAAACACACGAAGTAATGGAAATTTTTTACTGTTTTAATAAAAGCTGGATACAACGATTAACGCCTAAAAAGTCGTGATAAGTGATAAATAATTTATGAAAAAATTGATTATGTGGATCTGGAAATATATGTAAATACCTTAAACTAAGTATTACCAAAAGCTGTGTTACGAAATGCTAAAGAGGACAGGCTTTATAAACAATGAGTACTCTCTCTTGTTAGATCTGTGAGATCGACCACTCAAAGTCTCTTTTTCGCTTTGAACCGAAAAAAATGTTAATAGGCAAAAGAAATGATTATTATAATGGAACTTACTTTGAAAAAGCATGTAATCCAAATTGCAAACTTTGTAGAACATTTATCAAAAATTTTATGAACTTTAAGAAATGATGGTCCTCTGCAAAAACGACACAATTCAAATTTCAAAAAATAAAATCTCTTATTATTTTTAAGTGGATAATTTCTCTAATCCTTGCTTACTCCATATCTAATCCTTACAAAATTAAGTAGTAAGTGATGGACGTGGGTTTTGCAGTCTCTTAAAACTTGCACTTTATTATACTTGAATTTAATCGGCCTGCAAAACTGCATACTCAAAAAAATTCGAAACAAATTTATAAAATTGGTAAATTCGTAATGTACGCATTTTACTCAACTTCGGTGTAAAAAAACTCATAACTCAAATTATTATAGAGTGCACTTTACTTAAATATTGCGTACAACTCAGAGCTATCATTGTGATATTTTTAAGTTCTTTTGAGATGGCATATTTTCAAAAACAAATTTTTTTATCAAAAAATGTTTCAAGAAAAAAATTTTAAATTATTTATTTTCATAGAGCTCTTTTGTGTGTGTATGTGTGATTTTTTTTTTCAAATCTTTTCCTCGCCCCATTCTAGAGATATCTGGAAAACTATTAAATCGATTTGATTTTGTTTTTGTGCTATAAAGTTTTTAAAAATGTATTAATCAACCTCAAATTTCATAATTGTTTATTATTTATGTTTATCCATCAATCTTAAAAATTTGAAACAAATCAAACACCTGAAGTCCCCCTGAACCCCGTCCATTTTGGTATGGAACGCCTCATATATAGAATTGTACAATCGTGGATTTAGTTTCATATGTTTTGACCACCACTGTTTAAGCTTTATCTTGTCAAATCAGTTGAGTTTCTAGTATTTAGAACTTTAAAAATTCCCTTGACCGTCATGCAATTACCCACCGTAGGTTGACAATTTTAACAAAATTGTATCTACAATTTAATATGTATGAATATATACATACATACATTAATATATGCAAATGACTATTTTAATACAAACAGCTGTGAGAATATAAGGAATAGAGTAATAATAAATGAAAATATAAATAACCAAATAAACATGGCAAAACAAAATGAACAAACTCGCTTTAAACAATAAATATTAGTGATAAACATGCAGTCACACATGTATGCAAATTTACGCAAATGTACTCATACATACCCACATACATACATGTGTAGATATGTATATGAAAACATGAATAGCTTATGTACACAAAGCATGCATATAAATTTTGTAATAAAATAGTTGCATTACAATACAGATGTCAGATACATTTGCGCAATCAAGAAGTAAATAATAAAATACTAAATACTAATGCACTCACCAGTAATAAGTAAGCCAACAATAATAACGGCAATACCGGTCGCAAAGGCCAAAATGTCCGTGACATTTTGCAACTTTTTATGGCCTTATCCCAACTTTTCTCGTCTCGTCACGCCTGGGCTAGTTAGTACTAGAATGCACCAGAGTTGTAGAAGCAGCAACTTGCCGGCTATTTACTATTTTGGTCTTCACACGGCTTAACACTGCCTGATTAGACGGTTCAAATGGCTGTTAATATTGCTTCTACTCTTCCTTACATATGTATGTATGTAGAGAGATAGAGAGATCCTGAGTTTTGGTTTGAAGTGCAGTCTGAGGATGTTTTCCTATGCAGGAATTCGGTTTGAAGTTTAAGTATCCTTCCAGCGTTTTTAACACCTCCGCTTCATCAGCACGCCTACGAACATTTGCGAAATCAGTTTACAAAATCATTTGTCGGGTCTTTCCACTCTATTGTACTTAATTATAGTATTTACATATATGTGCATACGTAAAATTATTGCAAAAAGTCCCAAAACGACACGCGATATTGCTTCCTACTTTACTTAAAAGTAAGTAATTGTATAAATTTTGTTTTGCTTCTTTACACACTTTTATGCACTTTTGTTTTTCTCTCCACTTGCTTTTCACATTTATTTATTTAACTTTTTTCTTTTGTATTTTAAATTTTTTGTTTTAATATACCTATTCACAATCACAAGACCGCTGTCTTTTCTGTCGTTCAATGTTCGCTGAGCGCACGTGTCGAGATCCGTCCGCCGACTGTTGGTTGTTTAACTGTCACCGCTATGTCCACGACTGATAATGGCCAAGCTGTCAGTGCTACATCCAAAGCTTCAACTGAGCTTCCGAGTTTCAAGTCCATTGATTATTCAGTTTTTTTTTTTTACTCTTTCTCAAACAATGCTAGATTTGGAGACTTTCGCCGGCCCTGAGCGAGAGAACCACGGCTTATTCATACGCGCGCTCCAAACCACTGTTCAGCTAAACCCACTCTACTCTACACTTACCGGCAGCCAGCTGTTTAGCTTGCATATCATTGAATCGACCTCCGCTTGCCAGCTGATCGTCAACTCGCTACTACCAAGCTTGGCTTGTTGGCTTTTTGTTTGTTTTTTTATTTTCGGTTTTCCGCCATTGTATTTCGCTTTGTGGTTGCTCCCATCTCTATACATATGTATGTATCTATGTACATACTAACTAAGTACTGGCATGATCAGTTAATTTTTTGGTTTTACATGTTTGAAGCGCTCTCGCATCAGCTTTTAAGCTCAGACAGAGCCCGTATAATACCACATGTGAAAAACGCATATTTTAATGGTTGATCATAACTACTATTTTGGTATCTATTTTATTTAATTTTGTTCTCTAAGTTCGAAAGCCATTATCCCACATTAAGAACCATCTGTTTTCAGAACCATCTCCCACGTGTGTGTATCTATGTATAGAATTAAAACTCTACACATTTGCAAAGAAGTTTGGTATGAGGATGGGGCTAAGAACAGTTTTAAATAAATGCATATCTCTCTTATTTCAATTAAAATTACCAGCTATTCACATTTCGGGAATTCCAGACAGGGACGTTTCGAAGGGAATGGAGTCGAGGTGGGGCTGAATGGGCGGCTGCCCGCCCCCCACCGGGTTTCCAACGGTGGCAGTATACTCCTTTTTCTTCAATTTATGGATACATTTTATTAATATAATTTGTCGCGACTCATCAAATGGTTTCATAAAGAAGCTATTCTAGCTCAGCAAGAAGTGATGAAGAGTATTCCTAGAATATCTGATATGCTTTGTATGGTGAAAGAAACTTAAAATATTATCCTAAAATCAGCCAAGAGAAAAAAAAATCACACATTACATAAATAATAAAGAAGAACTATGGCTTTTTTGTTAAGGAATCTCCAAAGTAGTTTTTTTTTTTAAATCGCACCGATTTTAACTCGACGATTTGCAGAGCTTGGATGATGACTTCATTTTGTTGAATGAATTTTTTATTGAATATGTATATTTAGTTTTTTTTTGTCTCTCCCAAAAATACGTTTTTTTCTCTCTCAATGATACGTTAAATCCCCCAATTTGTTTTTATCCACACCCCTTTTGAAATTTTCAGTATGGCACTCCTAATTTCAAACGAATTAAAATAAAAATTTTATGAAAAAGGCGTTTCCGTACCTTGGGGAGATTGAAAAATTATCTACCTACACGAATGACCCAAAAAAAGAATTACCCGTACAACGCTCCCCCATTTTTATAAATAAAGAGTAAAAATAATGAATGAATTTGTTCCGCAAATAGGCCAAAAAGCGACCTTTAAAAATATTTGAAGAAAAATCACCTCCCTTGTTTTGTTTCGGATTGTAAGAGAATCGATTACACTGGTCTACAAATTTCAACTTTTTTTCTGCGAATAAGACGGGACCTGGTGTTTCTGAACGGATTTTTCGTGCTGAACACGAATCCGGGGTCAAAAATGTCCCATCACGTCACGTTTTCGAGAAAAAAGGGGTTGAAACCCCTAAAAACAGCGTTTTTGGCCATTTTCGAAAAATTATAGAGCTGAACCCTGACGTGGTACAAATTTTGCATATATCAGAAATTAAAGGCTAAACCGTGCCCTTTCGAATGAGCCCTATGCCGAATTGATCGCGTGCACCCTTAAAGCAGGGGGTGTATTTGTGTTTAGGGGTGCAGGAAAAATTGATCACAGAAAGAATTTAATCTTAAACGATCATAGAAAATTAATAATGCCAAGGTTTTAACTATATTAAAAGTCGCTGATTACGAATCTGCAGTTAGATTTTAAAAATTTAAGATGACGGGTCGAATATGGTGGATATAAAAATTGGACTCCTAGACACAAATACACCCCCTGATCTAAGGGTGCATGCGATTAATTCGGCATAGGGCTCATTCGAAAGGGCACGATTTAGCCTTTAATTTCTGACATATACAAAGTTTGTAGCACGTCAGGGTTCAGCTCTACAATTTTTCAAAAATGGCCAAAAACGCTGTTTTTAGGGGTTTCAACCCCTTTTTTCTCGAAAACGTGACGTGATGGGAAGTTTTGGACCCCAGATTCGTGTTCAGCACGAAAAATCCGTTCGGAAACACCAGGTCCCGTCTTATTCGCAAAACCCTTGTAGACCAGTGTTATTATATATTAACTAGTGAACCCGCATTGGCCTTAAAACGCCCAAAATTGCATTTCAAACAACTAGAAAATATTCCAAATGTTAATCATAGTTATAAGCGATCCGAGTGACATAGTTCTGCTAAATGCTGTGTAGCCGTTTCTGAGTGAAGAGAGGTCTCCGCATAGTTTCGGTATTTAATATCTCCAAAATTTCAAATCACCCTGTACCGATAAAAAAGTTTCAACTGTAAAAAATAAAGTCTTAACCCATATATGCAGCCCAAGAACTTTATTCCACCTTTCATACTTAAAATTAAAAAGAACGGTGCAAATCTAATGACATTTACAAAAAATGCGCCCCAAGCTTTTCATTTTCAATTTCATAGATTGTTTATAATGACTTTTGCTAAAATTTCAAAATCAAAAGTTATCAAAACAAATTCTATGGGACTGAGAAATATTATTTTCTACTTTTTAGTCCATTTATAAAAGCGTTGTATATTAAAAAGTTTTTTTTATATTATTTATTTTCTACTTTTTAGTCCTGTCTGAATAAAATTTTGCAATAGATATTAAAATAATTCAACGATATTAATAGAATAGGTGCACACACATGCATTTACATATGTATGTACATACAAACGAGCACCAATTAATTTTATTTAAAGAAATGGCGTGTCGTCTATTTCCGCTGTAGCAAACGTAGTACATAGGGCGACATCTAGATGTCATCTACCTCGCCCTATTCACTACAGATGTCGCCCTATGCACTATGCTTTTTTATAGGAACTTTTCAAAGCAAAGCTTTATGGTGTCGGACACACAACATTGAAAGTTTCTGGACACACAACATTGCAAGTTGATAAAAGCGTTGTAAAATAATGTAATAATTATTAAATAAACTAAAAAGAAACGCAGCGCTAGCAACGGAGGCTTCCGGCTGCCTTCGCGTATTATTTATAGCTATAGATATGCATTCAATACTTTACTGATTCGTACACAAATAGCCATACTATTCGTATCAAAGCATCTATCTGTTTCTCTAAAGGGTATGCATGATGTGCTTTTTGAAAAAGGCAGATGCAAAGATTTATTTTTATTCCCTGCTTTTGTAGTGGTAAGCTATATTTGTACTGATATATGTACACATAAGTATGAAAACAAAATACGCTAACATATACTTATATGTATATATATACATAGTACACGTACACGGATGTTCTCCTAACTGTAGTTTAATTTTAGGCAGTAGTTTTAAGCTTTAGGCACAGATAAAAAGCTCAATACATTTGTATAGTCTTTTGACTCACACTTAAAAGTTTCGTGAGAGCTTTTAACACTTATGTGAGCAAGGGTAGATACCAGGCATGCATTTGTGCTGCACTAAAATAAGCACAGTTCAATTACCTTAACACATCACTACTTACATAGTTTGAAAAAAATTCAGCCTACAGAAAAAATAATTTATGAATAAACGAGCTGAACTTATTCGTACAGAGCATACCGAAATTGCGACAAATCAATTTTTGATTAGTTGCCACTTAATTGGCAAAATCTCCAAAACAAAACTTTTTTTATTAAGTTAGTAGTTTTATCTGAAATCGAGCCCAGTCTTCATACGAAAATACTAACTTAAACATAAGTTTGTTTGATCGATCACAGAGTGGTGTTGTCATTCGGGAACGTCCGCGCTCGAGTGGCATTAAACGGTGCATGTTATTTTTGATTTTTGTTTTTGATTTTCCTGGATTACGAAAAACATATGTGAGGTGCAGAATGAAATCATATTCACTCAAAAATATATCCATAAATAAATCTGTTTAAAGCATATAAACAAAAGGCCGTTTGGCACCAAATCATATGTGTTTTAGCTTAAAACAAAGAGTTTGTGGTTAATTTTTTTTTCTCAGTGTAGTTTCCGATTAACATTCTGATAGCTAATGTTATATGAAATTCTATTGAATTCATGGTAATTTTGACAGATGGTTATCTTAATAGAGCATGAATAGAAATTTCTCTTTCCTGCGAGTTCTGGGATATATGTTATGTTCTGGGCCAATGTTCGTCAATGATTGTGCTTATTGAAGTTAACTAATTAACTAAGTTAAAATAGATTACTTTAACTGCTTTTGTTTGACACTCGTATTGTACTATTTCCATTTAACTTGTCTTTGAACTGGAACTTTATAACTGGTGACAATCCTCTTCAAAATCGCTCTATAAAAAAAGCTTGGGTCAACCTCTGTTTTCGAAAGCATTTTAGAGATAGAGCTTACTTAAGCCTCCCTTGTTAGATACCCATATAAAAAAAATTTCATTTAAATAGCATGCCAATTAAATTAATTTTCTATTGTTAAGCAGATTTCATACTTCTTGAAAAATATAAGTAAATAAATAAGTCCCCTTTAACTTGTTTCGATTGGCACCTATGTGTATCGTCGTTTTAAGTAACAAAATGCAAAAACGCGTATGCGAGGTTGCATTAATTATTTTTAGAGAGAAAAAACACTCACATTTCAAAATGGTTCTCTTTTTTATAAAGCAATCGCATTTCTGGCTAGTATATTTCAGGACGAATGGATAAGGCTTGAGGCTTGTACTTTAAATGGCGATATATGTACACTAGACTTCATTACTCCCCATATAAAAGAAAATCGGTACTGTTTTTCCATTGCAATTATGAAATCTGTTATATTTTAAGACTTCCATAAAATATTTCGGAAAAATATTAAGATTTACGTGAGCTGGACCG